GCAGTGGGGAGGGGTGATCGCCAAGAAACCTAGTCTTGGAAAAATTATGCACCAATCAAGTATATAAAGCTGATGACGAGCATCCTAACTGCATAAAATAACTACAGTGTGACTGGAAGGGTGCAAGGCAGTCGGTTGAACTGGTGCTTTGAGCTCATATATGCTTTCCTGTCATCACTAGAGTCCCCAATATGTGGCAGAACCATTCGCAGATTCAACGTGCCTCATAATGAGCAACTCGTACAAAATGTCTTTCATAACGAGGAACAACAGAAACCCCGGCCTACTACGCTTTGCCCTTACGCTATATCTGATTTACAGTAAGTGTCAAAGCAGGCTTTTATTCGGCCGTGTCTAGTGATGTGGTTTTGCAACCTGCCCTGACGGTGCTAAAATACTATGGAGTTGTTGTTTACTTAAACGGTCTCCAAGGCTACTAGAAGAAAAGGAACGGTGCACCCACTTCGCGTAAATCCGGAGAGCTGACATGAGACTGCCATTCTTATCGGCGGTATTGAAAAGTAGCAACTGGTCAGCAAACTCACAAATACCGCACTGTTTTTTATTCAATATTTATTAATGTTATGTAGGGCGATGCTGTTGCCTGCTTTCAGTGTCCGCATATACACAGAGCACAATGGCAAGATAATTACTACGTAATACCTACAGAAAGCAAGAGACGACACTTTAAAGCAGGAGAATTCATGGGATACGAATTAAATGAAGTATCACTGATTTTCTCTACAGCTCAGTTTTTGTTTTTGGGATGGTGTAATTTCTTGAGTAGCGGAACTTCGCAGCAAGTGTTAAATCTACGTAAAGTGAGTGGGTAATGAATTACAATATCCATTCAGCGACGGAGACCAAACTGTCATAAATAGTCTGCACAATGGTTTCAGTCGCGAGACCGTATTGCAACATTGCAAGCTCAGCGATTGTCCTTATGTATCAGCGCAAGAGCGCAGAATCCTCCCGCTACCATTCCAAAATAAACTGCAGAAATATATATATGATAACTTGCGTTATACAGTACAGAAATCGACGGCGCAAATCAAAAAGGGCTCTAAGCAAGCATAAACGGCGGAGGGAGATAGAAAATTTTCTTCATCTTGTTGGTGATGCAAATTATGTGATCAAACCATGTTAACCTGCCATTAACAACTACATAATAGTACATCATATCACTGACGTATTGTACAACGATCCCAACGTAAAACAAGAGTTTTGCGGTTGTGTTCATAGACCTTTTCAAGGATTCTGGAGTCATCAACTTTATCTCATAGCTGAAATGCCAAACGAATCGTCAAATAATCTGGGTTTGGCGAATAAAGTGGTAGAGCGTGCTGTGAACTTTACGTGAAAAACTTTTAATCCCTCGATTAAACTTGAAACCGGTGTAAAAATTCTGGAATTCGACAACATGCTCATCTTGACAAAGTCCACTCGTAATCTCACAATCGTTTCGTGCATGTTAACACCTCAATCATATACCATTACTATCACGCTACCGGGGAGTGATAACTGAGCAGATTTCTTCCATTATTTCTCATATAACTCACGCAAGTTCTTATACTACGGTCTGCAGACCATGAACACAATAAAAAACACTAAACCTGGCACTGCCAAGGAACCGAAGCTACACCTGTAAATAGACATGTTAAATAGCCTAAAATGAAGCAACATGTAATTAACTGTTGAAATGAAGCATTTAAGAGCAATCGGGTTAAGTACAAATCCCTACTATTACCAGTAAATCGGTTATGAACAGAACAACTGCATCTGCAGCGTCACTGGCAAGGAGTGTGTGCCGCCACAGAAAATGAAAACTCGCTAAGATGCAGCGACGCGTTGTCAAACACAAATGTCGTTCTCAGTTGAACGTCAATGAGAACCAGCTCTGAATACGTCCTTGACAAGATTTTGCATACTGCACTCATCTGTTTACTTTACACTTAAAAAACCTCAGCAAAAAATCAAACACTATCAATTATTACAACCTGTTGTAATGCATCATATAAAGAAATGGACTGTAGTCAACCAAATCAAGGATGTAGCTCGGGCTGGCTACCTCACTTATTGCATAAGTGACTGCAGCTGCGCAAGAGAAAAACGAAAAAAGCTTGCAAATGGCAAGCGCAAAATGTGATTTCCTACGTTGGGTCATCGGTGTTTGGACCAGATTAGATTCTTCTCCAGCCAGACTGACGAGGTCTTGGTTTTGCGTGTCTGGAGGATTCAAGACACTTAACACATTTGCTCAGAAAATAAATCCGTGTGAGAAGGACCAGTCTAACAGTATTTTCATGTGACTTCTGTATTCTTCAGGGCCTTCGCGGTCTTTGACAAGTGCAACGACGGTAGAGCAAATGACTCATTGTGACTGGCAGATTCTATCTGAAACAACATTTTACACCCACTCCATGAAAAATAATCGATTTTCTTGTAAGGAACCATTAGCACCTGATCTAAACAAGTTGTAGCATTTACACAGTGAGTTATATATAAATGAAATTGAACCATCGTAGCCGATGATGAGAAGATGTGGAGAAGTCATGGATGAGACGATGTGGATACATCTTGCGAATGCTTTAAAAAAGGAAGAAGAAATAGATACTACTTGCCCAACCTAACGGCCGAAGGCCTCGAGACGGCCAAGAATAACCCAGACAAGTGTCTCGAAAGACTTTGCTCCAGATTCGAGTTATCTTCTCCGATTCCGCTCGTACATCCTACCTAAAGAATTCTTCCTACCTCAGAAAATCTTGCAATTTTTATGTAACAGCTCTATCATTGGGCATTTAGACTCGTTATACAAATTGTTTTCGTTTTTAAACTTCTTAACTGTAATATTCACTTTTTACCTGTCACCACGTGAACAATGTTATACATAATGTGCAATCAGGAATTTTTATTTCCATCTACGTCGTGTTCCTTGTGTATCTGTTTGAAATCAGACTGTCCTCGTCAGACTGCAATCATAGAACCTTTAACCTCTAGATGCTGATTGTTCCACAGAAGCCATGGTTGTGGGATCACTGACAATGGTATGAATGGCTTCAGATGGCACGGTTTGGTGTCAAATGTCGGTCGAATTGGAGACACGTGCCAGCTATGATCTACGCTTACAAGATGGCGATTGCAGAGCAGAAAACTCTGGAAAGTGCCGGCCACTGAATGAACAAAAAGTTGCGGAGGAAACATCAGTGCGGAGGGAAGACAACCGCGTTAACGCTATAGAGAAGGCTGACTGTCAGAGACGGTAATTTCACTAGAAAATCTGGTTACAATCAATCAGCAATCGAAAAGTCTGGACGTCGCAGACAACTCCTTTTCCAGAGCACTATGCTAAGAGATATGGAGAAGAAAGAATATTCTACACAGTATACGCGTACTAGTCGTTTTTAAACTGCATGGGAAACTGTAAGCAGACTACGGTCCCACGATATTATAGCACCTGTAATGCATGAATATGCGATTCTTACCGGTGGAATCGAAAACTAACTTTTGATAGTAAACAAAATATTTTGAGTAATTTTGGTTATATAATAAATTGTGAGAAATCGTTCAGCTACGATGTTCCTTTGCCTCTGCTCCTTTCCCAGACATAAGCCGTTGTGACAATGGATAAAGTCCATCGCCGTTGTTTCATCTGCCATAAGAATAACAGACGCCAACATGCTTACCGCATATGACCAGCCTCCTTACTCCCAATGAAGGTTTATAAATGAGGTAGCTGGACCGAAAACAAACGAACAAACGACATCATCATTATGAGGTCATTAACCGAAGCCTCATGAAAGCTTGCCAAACAGCTAGACAAACAGTAGCGGGTGTATCACGAACTAGGCAGCTCGCAGGTGAATATGGCTCGAGGTCGTGATCGCTACAAACGAGAGGTACCACACTTCGTCGGAAGTACTTACAATTTCTTTGATCAAGTTCACTGATTCGCCTTGAACGTTGCCGTCGAAGCGGTACATGAACGTCGATGACTTGTTCAGGTGGCGGTCGGTGCGGCGGAAAATGAATCGAAGATAGTCAGGAGGCAGATCGAGCTTGAGGGATCGATTGACTGGTTGCACAGACACGGTTTGACTGAGGTTCGATGCACCCTTCGTCACGAATTTAATGATCGCGCCGACTAACATTCCTGTGTAAGACCAGTAAGCACCGGACGAGATGACCACACGAGGAGGGAACCCGGTCACCTCGACCCTCGATACACTTACCGTAGAAAAGCGTTAGGCCAGTTTCGTGCATGAAGGGAATGCACCGATTTTTGCCGTACTTCAGCTTCCAAATCGTCAGTACCGTTATGAGCAAAAGGAATGTATAGAGTAAGATGTTCAGCGTGTCCGTTCGGTGCAAGGCCAGAGCTTTAACTTCTGCTTCCTTTTCGTCCTCCACGTCGTTCGCCGGCATCTGGACAGCGTTGACGATGACAAAAACGCCACAGACGCTCAGAAGGGTCGAAACTTCAATCAGAAACATTTTTACGCAGCGTTTTCGTGCACTATACCTGGCCAACAATAGTCAACCAATGCCGAAAGCTTCGACAGCACCGCAGATCGCATTTTCAGTAGTTAATTGCGACGTTTGCCTTACGGTAGAAGTGAAGTACGAGCGTACTGGCTATGTTTCATACTGCTTATTTAATGTACACTTACATTGTCCCGAGTTTGTTAGATTCGTTAAATGCATCGTAAGTTAATTGCTTACAAATATTAATTTGACAGGCAGCATATTAAGCAAATCACCAAAACAAATCAACAGAAATTGATTTATTTGATACAGTGCGTTTAGCTTTATAAGAAGTTTAGAAGAAAACTGATTCTTTTGCTGATCAGGTTTACTAACAGTTAATGAATGAGTTTCTTGGAAAATTCATTACTCTAGCATGATAACTAAATTTAAACATCAATCCCAGTGGAAAAGTAACCGTTCATTGTGCGAAATGCACGTTACCTAATAAGTATGTTTCGGCTTCACCTTACATGCAGTCATCAGAAATTTCACAACCGGAAGTCAGACTTTATCTTAGCCACAAATTTTCTTACGGAACTTACTACGCGTTTTCTGACACTGGAGTTGCTCAGTCGATGGAGCATAGACTCAAAACTGAAAGTACATGGGTTTGTGTCCGGGTGAAGGTCACTTGCGCTTCATCTTTGCAAGGTTGATAAATGAGTAGCAATTTATGAGAATGAAGCAGGAGACTACTTATCATGCTTCTCATATATCTACTAGCGATTCTGTATTTAAAATAAAAGAAATCTGGCTGATGACATGGAAATGAAGACCAGCGCCTTATTTTTAACTTCATGAAAAGAAAAGTATGAGAATGGTCCCATCGTGTAAGTTCAAGGAAGTCCGACATTTCAGCGGTTGCAAATTTTCTTTTTATTTTTTTACGAACAGTGATAACTTCTAAGATATTTGATGATAACTTCCCTATGAGAAGCACAAATTTTGACGTAAAATAAATATATATCTAACACAGGATTTATCGTTTTGTTGTAGCGGTCGATCCACTGAATGAATGAACATCTTAGCTGTTAAAACGGAAGAGGCCCCGAATTCCGTTTTAGACCGCAGGTAATGTTTGATGGCAGAATGTTTTCTCACAGATAAGGTAAAACAAAATGAGTCAGACGCGTATGATACGAATGTATCATTAGAAAATTTCTTAATCGATTCTGGAGAAATGGTTCATGGTGAAGTTACAGAAATATGTAGGTACAATAAATTTATGACGTCTTTAACGCAGTCAGGCAATTCAGTTTACTTTAAGCTAACAATAAAACAATACAATAATCTTTATGTGTAGCTTGATATGATTAGCTTCAATGTTTTATTATATGAAACAATTTTGGTAGGGCAGCCGCGAAGAAAAAATGGTTGTATAATCATAATTATATGTAGTAACACTGACCTCT